TACCGCCTCAGTTTTTTTTCCGACCATACTGTTTCCACAGAAGACAGAAAAAGCCTACTATTGAGTGATGAGACTTCTCGTAGTGCTTTTCTCATCATTTGATTTGGTTTTGTTTACTCATGAGCTCTTTTAAAAATGTTAGAAATTCTGTGGAAAACTTAATTCCTTTCCACTGTTTCAAGGTCAATTTAAAAAATTGCTAAGATAGGTAAGTAGCACAAGAATAAATGGGTACGGTAACGCAATAAATTGTCCTCGATGAAATAAGAGGTCTTCTTTGGATCCACAAGAAAAAAAGCAGTTTCCTTATTGTTTCTCTCTTCCTTCTCTCCTCGTTACTAACAATTATCACTGAATCGCTACCAATTCATGCCGTGATTCTAGAAACGTATAGATAACATCGTTTGAAGATCGAAGCTGAGAAGCTTATTGTAAAATGTTTCAGCGTGTCTATAAGTGGAAGGTTTCTGTTCGTAACTCTAATAATCTAGAACTCTAATATAGACAAATGTTTTGGATTTCTAAACGAACGGTCAGAATACAAAAATTTCACACAGGAGAAACCGAAGGAAGACTGGTTTCCTTTAATGTCCAAATTAACCTATCCGAGAGCAGCTGCATCACCAAATTGGACCGAAAGCCAAGTGGCAAAAGGAGACTGGTGCACTACCCCTTCTCTTGACACTCACACAGAAAAAGGAGGCTTGTGAGAAACATGTTTCGAACAGCAATCAGTATGTGCAGAGAAAGAGAGCAGAATGAGGAATCCTTAAAATTAGAGTGGCAATTAGCCATCTCCAGTAGCTATGAAGCGGTAGCTTCTCGAAACGCATAGGTCTAGAAGAAAAACAAACTATCCAAACGGCAAGTCCGACGAAAATAAGGTCCAGTTTAACACGTCCTTCATCTACAAACAAGTAAGCACAACTACAAAGCGATGTCTAAAAAAGACTAGTCTACAGAAATAGGTAGCAGTGGTTGAAATAGCATCGAGAACTCTAAGTTAATTCGTAATTTCTTGTATGACCGTCTAGGAAAAACTCAAAATTTTATAATATGCCCTAACGGTGGATACAGTGATTGCACGAGTTCAGGTACTATGTACCTAGTCTCTTGTGAAGTGTACGGGGGTGAATACATTCGCGAAATGGGTAAGCCACTGTGCGTCCGCGTGAAACAGCACCTAGTTAGGAGGCTGAAATTCAAACAGAACACTGCACTAGGTGCGCGCACGACATAAAGTTATAACGGAGAAGGTTAAAAATAAGAATCAGTCTTATGAAGTGATCTTATTGTGTTAATGCGAGGTTCGTATAGTTGTCGCTGTCGTTGGTCGATGGCTGAAGTTTCGACGATTTCGACTTTCCCAGAGTTCCACTCATAACATGACGGCTCTGAAGAGGGCGAAATCGTCGAAACTTCAGTCATCGAGCAACACCAACGGCAGCTATAGCAACATCGCATCATCTCAGCAAGAACAGTCCATAAGAACGCATAAATAGAAATATCGACTATTTATGATATGTTTACAAATAGACCGTCTTTTGAGGTACCAAGAATCACTTTCCTCGTACTCGAATCTAAGGCATCAGCGCGTAAAACTCTTGACGCCTTTTGGATAAATTCCAAAGACCCAAAAATGAACCCCAGTTACGAGTGCCTTATGACGACACGTAGTCTAGCGTCTCCCACAGGCCGATTTTTTTTACCTGGCCCAGGCCCATTTCTCACCCATATAGGACTCCATGTGGCTCATTTTCAACAATAACTAGTGGAGTTTTAAAGAACAAAACGGTGAGTGTTTAGAAAAGCTGTTTATTATGCGAATAAAATTTGTTATGAAAGTCTTTGGCTAAGTAGATTGTATGTCAATTCGAACTTTTCAGGCTATGAAGAAAAGGCTTAGAAGAATTTTTTAGATATTGAAACGTGAGCAGAGTATTGCAGCAAGCAGGCTGATTGCATTACAGCTACAACGTTTCGAAAATCCGTGTTTTTATAGCATTACATAAATTTTACTGCTTAGACAGTTATAAGTGATAGGACGAGTGTTGTGCAGTGGTTGGAGTTGCGTGCAATATACACATGGCGGCTTGTTCAACTCTGCGCCCATGAAAAGCCGAGTCCTCCATTCCTCTTGGGACGGCGAACTTCTACGGGACTTATCTGTGAAGATAGCGGCGTTGACATGCTATTTACAACGTTAGACCAAAGGAAGTCATTGTATGAGCAAAATGTGGACATAATCACCTCCACGATCCTGAAAGGAATTGGATGTACGGCGCCATCTTCAGGGACTAATCGACTTCTTTTATCCTTGCATAAGATATGGCTCTTCGTCAAGTGACCTTCAAGCGTTTTAGGTTTTCTTCACTCACCTCGTTATCTATCAACCACCACTCATGGTTGTGACCGGGTTCGCTTGCAATTTAGTAGTTCGGTGATCCGTTCTTTTTTCGCTTCACTGACATTTTTAATGCTGCTTGAAGGTTATAAAGGACAAAATAAAAAAGGAAAAAGCTCTCAGCGTTGACCAATCCCTGAGGGATGCGCCATGCATTCGACTTCATTAAGTATCGTTGGAGGTGATTGAATGCATATCTTGTCTTTACTCGCGGTGGCCTACCGATGTATCGAGTCAGTGCTGCTATCCTCCCGGGCAGGTCTGGTACCAGTTTGCCGACTCTGGAAGGATGTAAGGCTTGGTGAGCCATGTCCACGGAGGTCAGTTCCACGTGTGTGTCGCAGTGGCGCCTCCAACCACTGCGCCACATGAGCCCTTATTGACTGTTATATTCTCTGTAATCTCGAACGTGACCCTTATGCATCGGAAAAGGTTTCCTGCTTTGCAACGTAGATTCTTCCAGTGCCGTGGCGAATGCTGCGGTTAGTCAAAGACACAGACGGAATTCAGAAAGTATTGATATTCTTGGAATCTTCCAAAGATTTGAATAAACACGGTTTCTCATTTCATTAAATAGTTGAATATGTGTTGCCTGAACATCCAATTAAGATCTGACGGGCTGGGCTCAGTTCTACTAGAATGTTTTAGTCGCCGAAGGATTTATTCTAGGTCAATGTAAAAAGAACGTGAACATCAACTCATTCATAGCATTCGGCTTGACTAAATGATATCTGTTCTTTGCACTACTAGCAATGAAAAACAGATACAATTCTTAGTGTTCCAGACTCTAAAGAAATAATTAGATGTCGGTTAAAGTGCGGTGAGAGTAGACGAAAAGATTAGTGAGATGATAATTGTAAAGGAAATGAAGCAATCAAAACGCCTCAGAAATCGGAAATGAAAGGCTGGGTGAAAAGTTGGAAGAAATAAAACCTGTAATGAGCTTAATAACAATAAGTCCCACTAACCCTTTACCGACAGTAGTCGAGCGACTTTGAATTTCTTTTCGGCTATTGAGAAAGCGTTTTCGATTCGTTCTGTTGCCGTACTATTCTCAACATGCGAAAGATCCACCAATTTATTACTGAAATCCAGCAACTCTCATTAATGATTTCATGGAATTTCTTACTGCCTATCACATTTTTTGTCCTATTTCTGTAATATTATATCCATCGATCCACCAATTCATTACTAAACCGCGAAATGTTTCACAAATTATCTACTAAGCCCCACTTTTTTCCATTCTTGGTCTTCATTTTTACCATATTATAAAATTCGCTGATCAACTGGATGCTTATGTTTGTAAAGTTTCTTAGAGCCACTAACGTTCGTTGTGGCTTAATTTCCCGTAATGTCTAATGAGTACCAACTTGAATATCGCAGTTGATATGTTTGGCCGTTTTTTCTACATTTCGTTAGTTTTAATTCAAATATGACACATTGTTTGGCGATTGTAAAGTATAAAACTGCAGTTAAAATGCACCATTATAATCCTTCATATCCAAAAGGAACAATTCAAGGCGAGTCTTCTTCATAAGTTTCTGTCCCCATTTCCTATCGATTTTCTTTTTCTTTTTCCTGTTTGTCTAATTTCTGCCCTTTGGTCTTTAGTTTTATTTTAAATCTACTTAAATTATCATTTTGTTGAGGTGTGGTAAAAACAGCAACACCGTAATGGAGAGAAAAACTGCTAATATCAACGAATATTTTCAATTCTACTAATGTGGTGTCCCACTTGTTATATATTTTTTTATTTTATACAATCCGTCCTTTACATCTGCTGTGTGGATCTCAACACTTCTCAAATCCAATTCGTTTCCTCGCATACATTATCGACTAAGGTCTTCCAACTTTTACGTGTAGCTTCGGATACTGCTTGTGGATTTCCATTTCATCTTGAATATCGTAGAATGCTGGTCGAATCGATTCTTTCCGGAGTCCCGAGATAGCCAGGCTGGAGCGCTCTCAATTGGATTGGAAAAAATGTTTTTTTTACCGGACAAGTTCGGTACCAATTTCCCTACCCATGGAGGATGAGAGGTTTGGTGAGCCTGGAGCGGGGTTAAATCAGCGCCGTGCTCGTGATTATCGGTATCACTACCATTGTGCTATCCTCCTCCACAGTATCCTAGTACCTTTTTAGTTCTTCACTCACAGATTCTTATATTTCACCCTTATTTAAGATAGATTGCATATCTTCTAAAGTCGTTTCTTCCTTCTCATCTAATATTTGTTGTCATCGATCGTGTTCTGAGCCATTAATTTTCTCATACAGTTGTCATTTCCAATGAATCACGAAGTCAATCAATCATGCTCTCATCCTCCATTGGTAGGAAAATTGTTACCGAACTTGTCCGGGAAAAATCATCCCTCCAATCAATCAAAGGGTCAGTAATTGAAAGTGTAGATTTTTTAGTCTCTTTTAATATCGAATAATGCTATTATTACGGCATCCTTTTGTCTAAAAAAAACGGATCAGTAGTGGTGATAAATAGACAAGTAAATAAGAAAGAATGGATCAATAGTTGCGATGAATTTGTAAGTAAGTAGCTAAAGAAAAAGTAAAGAATCGAAGGAAACAAGGAAACATTACTGGTTATACGGACTCGAATGAGTGTAGAAGACAGTTGAATGCGTAGCCGTCTCGCCACGAGGACGTGAAATCACAGACGGAGACCGCCTCGTAGTCCTTTGTCACCTCCAGACACCATTGCTTGATCGCTTCGCTCAACTATAACAGGACTCCTTCAGGAAAAGAAACCGTTCTGTGATATTCGATAAGTTTTCCTGAATATTAGAAACCGAATAGAACACAAATTGCCAGCTATAGGGTGTTCATGGAATTCATGTCTCATAATTCGATTATATTCTAAAATATGAAAAATTTTATGAATTCTGGAACATTCTCCTTTCCGTTTACTTTTTATTTACTGCTAACTATAATTTTAATGGTAGGGAATTACGTGAAATCAACTACAACGACGCTGAGATATTCGCAAAACGTGGATCGCGGCTCAGATCGAACCACGATTTCCCATTTCGGGAAGCTCGCGCGCTACACACACTGCGCCACGGAGGCCCGCGCTCAGCGTTCCTCTCGGCTATTCTCCTTTCCGCCTAGGCAACATTTTCTCCTTGTTTATTACTTATTTAATGGTTCAAAAAATCTATTTAAGCAATATTCATAATCATAGTACAGTTAGAGCATCCGGAAATTTTTGTTCTCTACCACCGCGTAATCTAAGACGCCAGCTAGTTCATAACCGCCTATACGACCGTCTATGTGCAACGCAAAATTGTATAACTTGCCCCAGTGGTAGAAACGGTGACTGCATGAGTTCGGGTACAGTCTATCTAATCTCTTGTAAAACGTGCGGAGACGAATATGTTGGCGAAACGGGTAGACCACTCTGCGTGCGCATAAAAGAACACCTAGTCGGCAAACGTAAACCAAATACTCTACTAGGCACGCATAGGACGCAGAGACATAACGGAGAAGATTTTGAAGTAGGGGTTACGATCCTCGCGCAAGCAAAAACACAATCGCGCAAAACTCTAGAGGCATTCTGGATTAATTCCAAAAATCCGAAAATAAACCGCAGAGAGGAATGCTTTATTATCACGCGTGGCGTGATATTGGGCACTACATAAGCCTGTTATTTTGATGAGATGGGCACAGTACGATTCCGTGTGAACTCTGTGCGGTTGGTCTCCACGTGACATATTTAGTGGAAGACTCATGGAAAGCGGTGAGTGTGCAAAGACTGTGTTCAATGTGATTGAAATTTTGGTTCAGCATTTTTTCTGTTTGGTTATGAAGATGTTTGGCCGTGTAGATTGCGGTTAACTTGACCTTTCCAGGCTCTGAGGAAGGCGAAATCTGCCGAAACGTCAGCTTGTATGTAAATAAAGTAACACCTCGTGCTTACTGAAAAGAAGTAGAAAGAATTTTGTTCCCAACATTGATACGGTGGCTCTTCAATGTTTCTCTAGTGTCATCCGTATTTATACAACTTCGAGACCAAATTCGCTGGAAAGTTGAATGGGAAGACTTGCTACAAAGTGTACACTGTAAGAAATATAAAGTATAGTCGATACATCAAGTCGAAATGTTGCTCGATAGTCAGTTGATCAAATTTCTTGAAGGGATATACTGTACAGTTGTGTAACATAGTTTTCACAAAAGGTTTATTTAGGTTAAGGTATAAATTAAAAGAAAATGTGACCTGGTTTATGTCTCTCTCTTTATCACTATCCTTCTCCGATCATCTTAATAGTTCCTTTGTGATGAAATCTATCAATGTGACAAGAAATGATAGGGATTCACTCATGAAAATGTCTTTTTGAAATATATCGTTAGAGTATTCACATAGATATGTATTGGCATCAAATCCAACATATGTGTTGGGCAAAGCGCAGCGTAAAATGCTTGCAGTTATGTGCGCAGAGTCGTTGGTTCTATCACTATTACGAAAGCTTCCAATCGCTGACGAATACTCCATTAATGGATAACTTGTCTGCGAATAACAAAAACATTAACATTTAAATAGGATATTAACAGCAACTCACCAACAACCCAAATTCATTCACATTTTCTACTTGGACGAATATGAAAACTGGAACACAAATGGGCAAATCACTCTAATGAGGCTGAGAGGCGCTAGGAACTTGAAAATCATTTTACCTCACTTATGCGTTTCTATAAAAGTTAACTAGCTGAGAATCTTCATTCACATAAACGAGCGTGTGAATATTCTTAGAAGTAAAAAAAGGCTCATAGAATAATACCTAAATATTTTTTAGTCACCTCAACGAATCTCTGAAATTGTATTGGCTCCCTTTTGTAGTTTCACTTGAGATAATTGGACATTCCGGAAGAGGTAATTATAACTTTCGCAATGAGAAGGTTCACGGACAAAAATAGCAGTGTTGAAATGTCCCTCAGAAACGCGCCATGTTTCGACTCCATTCGTAGCATCACACGGGTTATTAATTGTAATTTTAGCCTATATAATGACATCCGGAGAGTTGCCAATGCATTAGTTCTATGCTTTCATCCTTCCAGACATATTTGGTACCACCTTGCAGACCCCGAAGAGGTGCGGTTTTGGTTTATTCGGTATAAGGGAGGATCGAATCAACGACAAAGTGTGTATAGCATGACATCTCTAGCCACTGGGCTATATGCATTCTCATAATAGTTTTACACTTGGTTATTATTCACGTCATCAGTATTGCTATGCACTAACTTTTTCTTCACGGATCGGATCCGGGCCGTAGCGTTTCCAAAACGCCTGCACCAAACTCCACCAGACGGAGAGCACGGCCTTCTGTTGATTGTCGGCCATTTCGGCCGGTGATGTCTTCGTATCACCGATGGACGACAAAATCGCACAACAATCATCGTGGCGATTCCCGCTGAAGGCCTAAAATCGCTCTATCAGTGATAAACGGTAGTAATCGATAATTGACACTATCTACTAATCAGTACCTTCTTGGATTATTGAGCTAACGTGAGGTTGATAAATAAACAATGCGAATAAACATCTTTAGGACCTCGTGTTGGCTTGACAATCCACGAAAGTATTGATCATTACTACCGAGGTTAAATGACGGTCGGTTTGGAAAATACTGCCTGCTAACATTAAACTGATAGTACTACTGATAAAAATGTGATAGGTTCACAGTGGCAATAACGTTCACTTAGAGTTTATTAATTCTCGTTTTTGTTCCTCTTCACAGACGAATTCCTTTTACAACTACTCCACCTATCCGATATATCAGCAAAGGATTGATAGTAAAATCAGTAGCAGATAATAGTAGATAATGAAATACTTCCAAAGAAAGTTTTCCTATACCTTTTAGAAAGATTCGAAAAAGTTGTCTTATATATTCGATATGTGAAGACTTATTGATTAGACGTCGAGTATTCGGATATTCGACCAGCCAGGTCTTTGTATTTGATGTAATTACGTATGGAAGAATATCTGCTTAAACAATATCTCATTGGTGAGTAATCCTAGTTGAAGTTTTTTCTTCGGTTTATTGGTATCAGGAAGGAAATTGAATGTGCGTGCTGTGTAAATTTCATGGAGGAGTAAAATTAGGTACTAAAATAGATTAATGAGGACACATTACAGTTTTCTCGATAGTTTCTAGTTGCTTATAAAGTTGATAACAGTGACGAATTCCCTTGCTGATTACACATAAGCAAAATTCTGAAAAAAATTAGAGGTTACAACCACAATGATGCTCAGATATTTGTAAAACTCCGGACCGCAGGTGTCTGCGGTGGAGACGAACACGCTATTACCCTTTCCAGGGACTAACACGTTCACCACCACACGGTGTGGGTCTTTCGTTTCACCTGTCTCTCAGCTTAGGGTTTCGCCTGTCTCTTAGTAGTTACAATTTTAATCGAATCCTTTATTTATCGGATGCTGAAGGAGAAAAATCAGACTTTTGCTTTTCAACGAAAAAAAAAACGATTTTCCTTGTTTTTGAAAGATTTCTAGACAACGAAAACTGCCAGCAGTCAAGTACGAATTAAGATATATTTTCAATATGTAATATTCATCGGAAAAAGGACGAGTTTATCTTCGACGGATTTTTCAGCAACGGCCACACTAGCATTAAACTAGCTTGGATGGAATTATCGGATAAGAAACCGCTTATGATCCGCGAAGAAGGCGAAACTAATGAAAACCTAAACGACCAGCAAAGAACAATATGCAATATGGTGTTTATTGACGGCATTTCTGCACAGGTTTAAGAAATAGAAAATTTTTGAAAAAAAAGTGCGGCCTTCGAAGCAATAACAATGTTGACTTCTTAGAGTTTATTTATCCACGTTTTTGCTTTTCTTTACAGGTCAATCCCTTCTATTATTAAGCGCCGATATAATAGCAGAGGCTGCCGGAGTATGCGCCGGCGTTCCTTGCAGGACCGACACTTTTCTTTCATTGACTGCTAGCGATTGCAAGTTGATTGTTCAGTGAGCGATAGTGGTCAGTGGTCAGTGACGGTGGTGAGCGTTCCTGCTCATGGCCACCCATTTCTTTCTCACATTCTTAGTGACTGCCGTTAGTGATCGATTGATAATCATTGTTGTTATGTCGTCGACCGGAAGACTGGTTGTGTAAAAGGCCGACAACAGCGCCGATCTTCTCGGAGCTTTGATGGGATAGCCTTCTCGACTACATACCCCACCATCAATGATAACAGACATAGAATTACGATGACACATATCGCGTTAGCTTCTAACCACGTTATCGATTGATTTTTCAGTTTGTTCCGATCGATTTCCTTCGTGGCCGACTGATTGATTGATTGATGACCTGATTGCAGCCGAGTTCGCCGACGAACACAACAACAGCTGTGTGTTGATCGATTAGCATAAGGTTGATTAATTTTTCTGAGATTATGAGATTGTACGAATGATATTGAATTTCTTTCGGGTAAAATTTTTTAAGCTTTCGATTACTTATATAGAAGCTACACCGATAGTACAACACTAATAAGAGCTTGGATTAAAGCATATTTTAGCAAGTTTTTTTTCCAATGGAAGTGCCCCAGAAACTCATCTCAGTTGATTGAATGTCAAAAGAAACCAATCCCGTCTTTTATGTGAAGCAACTTTCATACGGTTCGCAAAAACTTCCATGTTTTCCCGTCGATTTACTACGGTATCCATCGGTATCTTCAACGGGGGTTCTTTTCTTCAACAGTCATTTTTTAGATGAATCAGTAGCTTTTTGAGAAAGCTAACACGTTTTCAGAAAAACTGGCAAGAGAGCAGTGAAGAAGGCCAGCAAATCGTGTGGAATTAATGAAAACGACCAGAAATAATAAAAACAATGGGTAAAATGAGGGAATTAGAAAATGCGAATGTTAGTAAATCAATGGCTAATACAAGAATAATAGTCTACGTAAGTAGGAGAGAAAATTAACTAGCCGCAATACTGAAGGTTTGTCATCAAAACTTTTCCTGAACCTGAGTTTTAGTTCTGAATCGAGAACCTTCGAGAAATTCTGTGGAGAGAAGAGAGGAAAGCAGAAAAAGGGAGAACACTCCAATGAACGTACTATGGATGTGCCGGTAGATATTGAAGCGATCGAGTTCAGATATTTTAGATCGCATAGGTCACGAAAATCCTTGAGTGGTTCGTTTGCTAGTAATGAGTTACCCCATCGCAAGTACACGCTTTCCTGGATTTCATACTTGTCATCTGAAAAGCACAGCTGATTAGATTATCACTGCGGCTATCACTATTGCTGTTATTAACACTATTACTGTTGTTATTGATTTTCGATTGTGAAGAGAGGATTTCTATGGGTGGATAGAACAAGTCATTTTTTGCAGTCTTCTTCGCAATTTAAAAACTTATCATGGAACAAAGTTCTCTTTTTGATACTCTATGTACATGGAATAGAAGAGAATATATAACAAATTTTAATTAGTCCATCATTCAAACGTTTTTAATCCAAAAAGAGTAGACGATAAAAATCAATGCGCTGTAAGCATAGCACTCTGTTCTATTGTAAGAACGAGGACTATTTATAAATATAAAATTAATAGAACCTCATCAATAAAACTGTAGAGGATACAACAATAATAATGGCCATTGCTACTCACCAAAGTGTCATAGATGTATTACAATGCCTCCTTTACGTTATCATTTGTTTCTAGTAGAGTTAATTCATATCGACTATCAAAGAAAGCGGGGTAAATGGTTGGAGAAAAGTTTGCTAGCTATCGAAGAAAGTCAGAAAAGTGAAACTTCCATCACCTCGATCAGATTTCTTCTCTTTCTTCTCGTCACGTTTTGGTTTCGTTGTTGTTCCGCCAGTGAACAGCATCGTATTTTCGTAGCAGTTAGGTGTTAAGTTAAGAAAAAACACAAAAACGCTCTACAAACTATAACATGATGATTCTGAAGGTGGCAAAGGATGATTGGATTCAATGAGTACGGTTATTTCAAGGACCCCCACAGTAACCTGAAATCGGAACTGAATCTTCAATAAAGCGAAACCGCACTCACGTTAACGTTAACTAGCAACCATCAGTTGGGTAAAGAAAAAACACTAGACGATTTGTGATGTGCCGACTCGCTCTGAGCGAATGCTTTGATGGATTATTCATTCTAAGCATCAGTTGAGCGGAAAACTGCCATTCTCTATCAAATTGCACTCTCGATTGAGAAAAACTGATTGACAGACTTCATGGTGTACGACATGGAGGCGTTTTAGTATCCTATGTAGCTCACGGTTTTCACAAAACCAATTGAATATCCTGGGATGATTATTTTCACGATATCAAACAAGTCTAGATATAAATGAGAAACGTTGCATGGAAAAAAAACTGTCATCGCTAGTGACCATCACAGATGCGAAAGTTTTCTTAGTCACGATAATGAGCAACTGATAAGCTCTATAACTAAGTACGAGGGTAGTAGGAAAGAATAAACAAGGGAATAAAGCAAAACGATGATGTGAGAGTAGGTTAGGTTACGGTATATTACCATGGATAACTCTAAGAGTATTCTGCAATACGAAGCGGTGGATTCTTTGAGTGAAAAAGTTCGGCAAACCGAGCTCTTTGTTAAGAGATTTACAGAGTAGTAATGGGTACTAGTATTATATTCATATAGTGATGAATACGCAACGGCTGATTTCGATTTCATTGAAGTGACATAATCCACTAGTGAATAGTATAGGATAGGGATTAGCAGAAAATCTTGGGGTTGTGCAAAGCGATGAACTGTTCAGAATTTGAAATACTATAGGGTTTTGTAAGATAAGATTGAAATGGAGCTTTAGGGTTAACAACTGGCTCAAAGTGAGAGCTCTAATTTGCTTTCAAACAATGTCAGCTTAAAAATGTCGGTGTTATTTTGGTGAGTGTGAGAGCCTTGACAGATGAAAACACTATTGGAGATATATGTATCGTAGTTCAACGTGAACGAACTTAGAGATGAACTCAGCACTGCACTGATTAATCGTCGTCAGATGTGAATGTGTTGTAAAATCACGTTGTCAGAAGATGAGTTCAAGTTCAGTGTTCAGTAACTACGAGCACTCTGTAGTGGGTCTCGAATGGAATATTTGGATAAAATAGTAGCATCGTGAGTGTGAATACAGTTCCAAATGAAACCGAATGTAATCAATTTGATGGTGATTGTTGCAAATCTGGATAATCTGGGAATGTTGTGAAGGTGGGCGTGTAACGTATCGCGCGGCATATCAGCTGTTCAATGCAAATGCTGAAACCGAAACTACTTATATACGAGCTATGGTGCAGCTGTTTTTTAAAATTTCTTAAGCACGAAAGTTTTTTCGGAAAATCTTTGCCAAAATTATCCTGAACTTTTAAGAATTAGTCTTTCAAAGTGGTATTTCATACACAATGTGAAGACTACACTAAAATATGAAATTATGGATCTTCAAGACGCGAGTCCCCCGAAAGTGTAATCGCGGGTTCAAAGCTGGCCTTGGGTCCGCTTTTTGAAAATATCTTAGCATCATTGTAGTTGGTAGTTGTATTCCACATAATACCCAACCATGAAAAAATAATAAGGGCTATGAGAGGGTCAACCACATGCGACTATAATCAGCTGTTCTAAACTTCCTCATTGGAAGTCACGAAAAAGCGGCTCTGAAGAAGGCGATACTGCCGAAACGTCAGCTAGCGTTGAATTGTATTGCCTTGTAGATTGTATATCAGCATGCCCTTCCAGGCTCTGAAGAAGGCGATACTGCCGAAACGTCAGCTAGCGTTGTATTGCATTGTGGTTTCTTGTGGAAGTGAATGTGCGCTGTTTAAAAACCTCGCGATTGCTGAACAAGAAAACGACACATTCATATTCCAATGCCGAGGTTAAGAGAAAGTCGATCCTGGGAGCTATGAGAGGATCAAGTAAAATTAATTGGCGATTGGTGATTGGCAATAAGTAAAAAACTAAACTACATGCCTTTCATTTGAACCTGTTCGAATTGGAAGATCTGCTACTGGCAATGCCAACGGAAGAAGGAGGAGCACAAAAAGTGTAGCAAAAATGAGTGGATAAGTGGGCAAATGAAACATAAAAGCAGGAAAGAAATTATGTAAATATTTAACATAAAATGTGTTTCTCTTGATGCAAAGAAAATAGAAATGTGAACAGATCGTTCAGATTACCTATATCTCATGAAACGTGACTCAAGTATGGGACACCACAAAGGTTTCCGTTCCTCACAGTAGTGCTCCGGAAATGTACACCTTGTGGACTCGATTCGCTAGAGTTAGGGAGAGGGCACCAGGTTTTCACGCTGAATGCTTACTTCTAGTATTTCTGTGGTAAAGATAGCCACAAACAACTCATCGAACTTTCTTGTGCTGAACAGGTTGTTTGTCGGATTCTTGAGGGATATAGGCTGAAATTACTTGCTCAAAGGAGGAACCTCAAACCACTTCACACAGCCATTTGATTGTAGGTTTCAGTAGAATCGCTGTGCAAGCTAGAATTCATATACACACACAAACACCCACATACTCATGCATAGTATATCTACATACATACGAAAGATATGAATCAACTCGCTGCAGCAGAGACAAGAAAACCATTGACTGTGGCGAATTTCAGTGATTAAATAAATATATGGATTCCAACTGCTACATATTCCTCGATCGGTGATCAGCTAACTAGTCACAACTGTCTTTTCCGCCACTCTGGAAGAATCCTGGTGGCAAGGTAGCAAATCTCCGCTCGATTCAACAACGCCAGTGACCGTACGTGGTGAAAAAACGAAAACTAACGAGAGCCATATAGGCATTCCAGAAAAACGCACGATTGGTCGTGTTCAATTTATCAATAACAATGAAAACAACAGATTCCGAGTCCACAGCTGGAACCACATTCGAATCAGAGCATTCCCGTCTGTGATAAGTGCAACATAACGAAATGAATGGAAGAAGCTATAGGACCTGCGGCATATGTAAGTAAGAGTCATCTAAGAATCTATGCAGAAATGGCTGGTATGCAAGTAGTTTAAAGTGTCCCTAGATAAAAATCTGTTCAAGAATTATAGTGAAATAAACTTTGGTCCTATACCTGTTCTCGTTTGTTTAACATTAGTGAGCAATTTATCCCCTGTATTTGTGTGTTAATTGTATTGAATGAAGAAATCTTGGGCATATTTCTTCAGCAGACCGGCTTCTTCGTATAGTTTTGTTAAAAACGGAGTCCATCACTCGGTAAAAAAAACAAGTATTGCAAGACACTTAGTCATTAATGCTATAAATGGGAGGTAAATTTCAGCAATGCACGTGAATCTCACATGTGAATGCTAGTGAGGCCAGCAGTGATCCTACCCAATTCCATAAGCTGGATAATAGAAATATAAAGAAGTTTTTCGAAATCCTGACATGTTTCCCTGTGAAACCGTAGCGGTCGTTCGCAAGATAGTAAACTAAATTGGATTCATTGACGACACTTAAATGGGAAAGTCTTTCACACTGGCACACTCCTAGGACATTTTCACTTTTGAGTACTATCCTTTTCAAGTTCTCAATAATCTTCTGTGAAAAGAAGGCCGGGCTGAATTATTCTCAAACAGAAGACGACATTTTCCACTTCAGCTTCTAGTTATACAAATTTTCAATGTCGAGTATCCAGAAAGTCCTAAAGCGCTACGATTTTACGATAGATAATGTTAGTGAATCCATTGTAGAATAGGTTCCTACATCAATAAATATATTGATATTTGAAAATGCTATCAGGTTTTCCTATTACGATATTCGTAACTACTACCAGTGAAGTCTTTCTAGATGAAAAGTTCGTACGAAAAGCCTGCGCATCATTAATATCCTTGAAATGACGTTCGTGTTCTCAGAAATCAGAATTTGATTTATAAGGATTCCCGCTATTGAAATAGCGCTCCATAACGATTTGGTGTCGTTATTGAGGATTGGACTGTGATGGTACCTAACGCAGTGCAGTACTCAAACTGGAAAACGATTTTAGATTCCAGTCCAAAATCTCATCTAAGAGCCAGCAAAAGCAAGGAATCGCGGTCGTCTTGGTAGAAGCCTAACTGCAATGTGATTAACCTCTCACCGAGTTGAAAGGTACGACGGTAGTCCAGCATATGCTAACAACTTGGGAACGGCTCAGGATAACGCTTTTGTTAATCCGGTTAAAAAAGCTTTCCAGCTAATAACATGCCAACCAAACCAAATGGAAATCGTCCCGTTTACCGAAAGAATGGTCGCAAAAATAAGCCATCAAGCACTAAACAATTAGTTCCCAGGATCGACTTTCTATTAACCTCGGCATTGGAATATGAATGCGTCGTTTTCTTGTTCAGCAATCGCGAGGTTTTTAAACATCATACATTTACTTCCATAAAAAACACAATGCAATACAACGCTAGCTGACGTTTCGGCAGTATCGCCTTCTTCAGAGCCTGGAAGGGTATACTGATATACAATCTACTAGGCCAAACGCTTNAAGCGTTTGGCCTAGTAGATTGTATATCAGTATACCCTTCCAGGCTCTGAAGAAGGCGATACTGCCGAAACGTCAGCTAGCGTTGTATTGTATTGTGTTTCTCTATGGAAGTAAATGTATGCTGTTCAACAACCTCGCGATTGCTGAACAAGAAAACAACGCGCTAAACAATTATTTATGAGTGCCCAAATTCACATATGAAGGAAATTTTTGACAGTCCTACTTATAATGCAAAAAGATTTGTTATTGTTCACTTCTATTATTTCTTTTAAGTTTTTAAAAACAAAGGCGGACACAATATGAACATTCTGCCTTAGTAATTTCGAAAATAAGAGGAAATTGGGCCAAGTGTATCAATTGACAGTAAAATTG